TCGGGCTCCTTCTTGTTCCGGCGCCTCGCCGGCGAGTGGGCCTCCTCCTCCTCGGGACTCTCGAGTCTTGCCGCTCGGATCCTTTTTGCCGAAAAGCTCCCCCGATGGGCGGTATTCGGCGGTGCTTCCAGCTTCGGCAGGCGCAGCAGGTGGCTGCAGGCACCTCCCGTACTATGACAAACGCGTTCGAGTCGTCCGAAACAGCGCGGTCAAGGTGCGCCCAAAGCCAGGGCAACAGCTGTACGGCAGAAAGCAAACTCCCCCGCGTGAGGGGCAGGGACAGCAGCTGGCTGCGAAAGAACACGTGGCAGCGGAGGAGCGGAGCGCAGACCCGCGGAGAGCAAAAGCCGAGATGGCGGCAGCGTGCAAGGGTGGTGGCGCAGACCGCGCACAGNNACCGTGCCAGCAAGCGGACAAATGTAGCGGCCTTGGCACTCCAACGTCCCCCTATTTCAAAAGGGCCATGACAGTGAGCCGGCAGCGGTTGGACGTGCACAGCTCGGGGAATGTGCGCTTTCTCGTCTTGCCATGAGCAAGGCCGCTCCGGCGGTACGGCCACCAGTCCTGCCTGGGAGTAGCAGTAAGGGCGGAGACAAGTGTGGTGTGAACTGAAAGCTGAGCGCCACCCCACAGTGGCAGGCCATTTTGGCGATGACCTCAATGCGTCGGTCGTCTTGGCGTGCTGGGTCGACATTCACGTCGCTGACAAGAACGTTGAGAGCGACCGCTGCCCCAGCTTCTCTGCACACACGAGCAGCAGCACACTCGCGGGCAGGCAGCAAGGTGTGCGCGCAAACGGCATCTGGCAGCGGTGAGTGGCAGCGGCAAGCGAAGTCTGCTCAGGAGTATGGCTCGGAAGAACGACGACTCCAATGAGAAAACAACACCGCGCTCTCACGTAAATTTCGCGAATTTCAGACTGGCTGCAAGGCAAGCCAGAACATGGCCGGCTTTAAAAAGTCCCCTTGCTCGCCACCCTCTGCTTGAGGCCGCGGCCCAGACGTAGCACGACTCTCGAGCACACTACATGCGGGCGGGAAGGCAGTGCCGGCTGTGTGCCGGGTGTGAGTGAAGTAAGCATAGCCTCCCGGCGAACAAGGCCAGACGCAGCAGCTGCATCAACTGACAAAAGTGTCAAGCTCGGGTCAGCCTGCGTGCGCACCTGCAACGTATGCACCAGCGCTTCGGCACCGGCCCGCGTGGAGAAGGCATACTCGCGCGGCCTGCGCCACATCAGCCTTGCTCCCGACGTGCGTTGCCTTTGGAATGTGCGTTGGCCCGTGTATGTCGCGAGCGTGGGGCCCGTGTCGCCCGCAATGTCCGTGACTATCGTGTCTTCCCTGGCCCCTGACACGTGATGGCCTGCCTCACCCCAGCGCCGATGTTCAGCCTGGCATCTCGCTCTCCCGCGCAAAGCGACGGAAGACACGGGAAACCTACCCGGAGCTGGTCCGTGCACGCCGTTGCGACTCGTTGTGTTCGGCATTGAAACCTCGCACATGCCAGGGCCCTGAACGCGCCAGCTCCTTGGAGCGGTATGCTTGCTGTCGCCGCTCAGCGTGCCGTCGCCGCATCCCTCCCGCTGACTCTGAACTCTGAACCCGGTGCTGCTTGCGAGCCGCCTGTTTTGCACGAAGTCTTGGCTGATGCACGCTGGTTCGTGGCGCTTGCCCCCAGTCCGCCGTAGTCTGTAGTCTGCAGCTCGGTAGCTTCGTGCGCCAGGACCACTTCGACTTCCAGCAAAACAATGCGTGGACAAATATTACAAAAGAGAGAAAACGCACAAAGTACGTTCAAGACCTGGTTGATGACTTTCTGCGACGGCTTGTTGCCAGGACCATTGCACAACAGTTCGCCTCCAACGTTGGTCGCGCGCAAACCCGGCCTATTGCAGCTGCGCTACTGCTGCTGTTGCTGCTGCTGCTGCTGCTGCTGCTGCTCCTGCTGCTGCTGCTGCTAGCTCGGCTAAGCTTCACGGCGGAGGGCTTCCGCCACAAGATTTGGGTGGTGCTGGCGCAGGATCGGCAAGGTGTCGGCCCAAGATGCCCAGTAGGCTGCATTCCGGCCTTCCGTGCCATTGTTGCTCTCCCAGGCCGGGCCTCATGTCGCCCGCCCGCTGTCGGTCTTGCCTATGGCCGCTGACTTCACCATCTCCGGCCACCTGTTCTGTGTTCTCTCCGTCGCTTGCGTCTTCTTTTGCCACTCGGGCCGCGCACTTGCAGCTGCCGCCGCAGCTTTGATGCCCTCGAAGACCGCCGTGGGGGTTGCAGGCAGGCGGCTTCGAAGTTGGACAGACTTGTTGAAGGCGGGCGCCCGCCTCTTGCGTTTGTTGAGCGCGCACCTGGAGAGCCGCTGCGAGGATGGCAGCGAGCCGCCGCGGGCTGCTTGGACGCATCCGAGCCCTTCCTCTGATCTTGACTTCGTGCGCATTTATGTTGTCCCAGGCAGGCCCAGGTGGCTCCCGTGCCTTTACCACGTTGCCCACGGCTCCGGAGTTCCGCCTCGCAAGCTTTTGCTTCCGAGTGTTTTTGTTCAGGACCATGCCTATCGGACCAGGTCGTGGCCGTTGTGGATGCGATCTCGATGCCGTGGGTGACCACCGCGCAGCATGCCCGACTGCCGGTGTCCTCGGAACGGAACGCACGGGCAGCGCTGCAAAGCGCGGCTGCGCGCGTGTGCCGAGTCAGGAGCACGAGTGGCTTCCAATGTCCTCTTGCGGGACGTGAATGTTGACGTGCCCTTGAGCGACAGCCACCGCGCATGGAAGTCGTGGCGAATGGTTTTTTTTTCCACGGACCTTTTTGCATCCTCTGTCGCAGTCGGCGGTCGCAGGCTACGTCCGCCAGTAGATCGCCCAGTGGCGGCTCGGTGCCGTCGCATTCGTCCGCTCCCGCCAGGGGCAACTCGAGCAGCGAGTAAGCCAGTGCGCGTTGTGCCGCCACGTCCAGCATGCCCATCCATCGGTGCAGGGAGGCACGCGCACGGCCGCACGGAGCCGCGCAGGCGACTCGCGGGCACGGGCCTTGGCCAGTTGCCGCAGGAAGGCAACGGCCTCTCGGCTAAACCTGCCCCCAACTGCAACGCCCAGCACAACTAGCTTACAGCGGCGGGCGACTGTCAGTTCCGGGTAGGTGCGCTGGCGGCGTTTGCGTTTCGCCGCCTGCTCAAGCACCGTGCCTGGGACACGATCGGCATGCGGCTGTGCGTCGCCCGCCCGCGTGACTGGTGACACTAGGGTGGTGTCGACGGCCGCCTGTGTGCCCTGCCAGATGGGCATATCCATTTCGCAGGGTCCCCAAGCGGCCGTCGACACCACCCTAGTGTCACCAGTCACGCGGGCGGGCGACGCACAGCCGCATGCCGATCGTGTCCCAGGCACGGTGCTTGAGCAGGCGGCGAAACGCAAACGCCACCGCACCTACCCGGAGC